GCTGAAGATATGAATGAGTTTCTTGAAGCAGTTATTGCATGTTGGTTCAACAGTCCACATTAGCAGGATTTAGAGATCTGTAGCCAGCTCTTAGTGTACAAACGTACAATAACTGCAACCAAAACTAACCAGAAATCTTATCTGCACTCCACACAAGCATCACTGACCAGACTCACTTTTGTCACATACTTGCCTTCATACCACATTAACCCCAGAATGGTTACCCTGATATTGTTCTTGAGTCCTGAAGTTACACACACACAAGCTTAAGAACTGGGTTGCTTAACCTGGCTCCAGGGAGACCTTAGAGCAGCCTTCCAATACCTTAAAGGGGGCCTACAAGAAATCTGGAGAGGGACTTTTTACAAGGGCATGTGACAGGACACGAGGGAATGGCTTTAAGCTGAAAAAGTGGAGATTTAGATTAGATATTAGGAATACTTTAATGCAAGAGCAGTGAGGCACTGCCACAGGGTGCCCAGAGAAGTTGTGGCTGCCCCATCCGTGGCAGTGTTCAAGACTACATTGGGTGGGGTTTTGAGCAACCTGCTCTAGTGGAAGGTGTCCCTGCCTGTGGCAGGGGGTTGGGACTCAACTATGTATAAGGTCCCTTCCAACCCAAACCATTCTATGATTCTATGATAGAAGAATGTTTGGAATAATTTTAACTGACTGTAGTGAGAGTGATTCATAAATTTAGTGAGCACTCAGTGTACTTTATATTGCTTCCCTTCATGTTATTAGTGGAATCATATATGTACAACCAAGAGATAAATCATTACATATTTTGTTGCAAAATATAATTAAACACACAGAGGAACATTTGCATTCAGCAGCAGTTTCTGCTAAACAGGAGCCAAGTACATTTCCTTCTTGGCCTCCTTTCCCCTCTCTGTTTCAATTTTGTGCAGTATCAGTAAATCTCTTGTAGTTTCTTTTTTTCTGGTGGTATCATGTAGTATCTAAAAGAACATCCCCTAAATTAGCTTTTCTTCTCACATAAATAGTTATTTTCAAAACCAGGTATTCCTTCCTAAGGAACAGAAGGAATGCTATTTCTTAGAATATTATTCTACAGCTTATTCAATTATTCCTGTGCATCTACATCAGAGCTCTTCAAAAAAATATGCCCATGTGACCTGAAATACATGCCCGGTTTACAAGAATAGAGTTCACCGAGAGGAAAAAAAAACACCAAAATCACAAAAACTTGTTATTCCATTTTTTTTTTCCACAGTGCTGAAATCTTGGTTTGCTTTGATTAAGACGCAGTAACGCAAAAGTTCCAAATCTGCTCCACCAAAATCCCTCCCAACATCAAACACCAAAAAAAAGCCACATCTTGCAAGGACTGGGCACACACTGCTTGTGAACATGGAACCTGCCAAAAGATGCTGTGGACCTCTGACCATGGCCTTGAAATCACGGTATGTAAATCACCACTCTGGGTAACTGACACAGGTCTTCATCAGTCTGCTCAGGTGCAAAAGTCTATTTCAGTTATATCCAAATGGAATTAGTTAATGTAACAGACATAATTTTATCTTTATAACCATGTAGCAAGTATATTTCCATTACTGCTTTTCTTTAGTATCCAAAAACCAGTGCTAAGATGGCAAAATGTGCTTTCAGTGATCTGTGTATAATCTAACAAAGCAGCTGTGCCCAGCAGGAGCAATGGTTTTGTCAGAGAGTTAAGTAAAAATTCTTCAGAGTGCTGATAAAGCCTTTAAAAGATAATATTCTAAAACAAAAGGTTAATTTCCTTTACAGAATCACTGTAAGGCCAAGGATCCAGTACTCAGGATTAAATTACTGATGAGGGGAAAGAGAAGGCAAAATTTGGTTCATATACCATGCAAGGGGAGAGGCAACCACCCTCTGCCACAAGGAAGACAAATGGAGCACCCTATTTCTTTCTGTTATTTCACAAGATCTTTAAAACTATGGAAATGATCCTTTAGAACATAAGTACACTGACATTAAATCAATATTTTCCAGCAATCTAATACAAATCCTGTTGTTTTGGGAAATACAGGTATACTTTCTATCTCTAAAGCAACTGCACATGTTCTACAACTAATATGCTGTAAGAAAGATTTAAGAAAATAATGACAAATTTAATTAAATTAGTATGATTGACAACCTTTAAATACTTCAAATTTAATTTCATGTTTAAAGAAAGAAAAACCTGCAAAGCAATTTAGCTGTCAAGGACCACATACAAAGAGTTAAAAAACCTGCATGTCCAATCAATCCTTGCACAAAAGATTTCAGATGTTTTTAATGGAAATCATTAGATATAGCAAAAATAATTTTAAACAGTAAACTCTGCAAAGATCTGCTAAATTAAAACAACACATACTGAGGCTTAACAGAGACTGGGGATAAAAAGAAAAACAGAGAAAATCTCATTCCTTCTGAAACCTTCATTAGAATGTCTAAACTATTAGTCCTAATAAAGCAATTAACAAATCTATGAAGTATTAGGACATGGATGCTGAAAAATTAAGTCCACCTAAAGCTACATCTCAAAGTACTTTTATCTCTGTGTGGACAATTCTATGGGATTTCTCATCCATTCATTTTGCTTATGTATGTTGTCAGTTTCCTGGAGCAGTGACTTTTACATGGACACTACTAGTATTTTACCAGTAAACAGTTATCACAGCAGTATGCTTTTGTCTTAAAAATTGGTAAAATGAAGAAAAAATGAATAAAAATATTTAAATGCTAACTAATATTTGCATAGCATACTCCTTCATTTTAGTCCTAAAAACAGAGACCTCCATTCAAAGCTACAAAAAACCCAACCTGAACTTTAATTACTTTTCCGGGTATCCGTTGGTTCTTTGCAGCTCTATTGCTCACTTCTGCCTGCCAACCACATCTTTCCACGACAGCAGCAATTGTCATTACCACTATTTATAATATACATACTATGTAGAAGGGGACAGCTTCTAATGCCTGTTAAATTACTGCAATTCTGTAGTGATTTTATTAAGTTAATAGACTCGATGCCACTGAGATCATGGTTTGGCCCAGTTCTATCTCATGTAATTTAATGAACACTGCAGCTTTCCAGCAGAGTGGCATGCATTTTACACATTCTGTTCTTTACAGAGAGGCACGTTTTCACCATGCCACTGTTCATATGCACTGCTGAATCTGAAGCAGGTGACCTAATTTATTGCAAAAGAACACAAGGCCTAAGAGTCTGACTCCAAACTGCCACATACTTTTATGGGCTGGACTAGAGAATGTCCCAAGTTTCTTGCATCATTTAATGTCTTGAAAAGGTTCTTCCAGCCAGAGCTGCCAAAACTGTTTGCATCCTGTACATGGCAAACTGAACAGCTATCCAGAATTTTCCAAATGCAGGGACCACAAATAGCTTGTCTTTTGAAAGAGGAAAGAAATAATTTTATCTATACATTTTGATTTATATCATGTGCTAATTCTTTTCATATATTTTCCACTATTTACAATATGAAAAAGAGGCTACAAACACATTTAAAAAAAAAATACAGAGAGAAAAAGCAAGCAAGGAAATGTGGCACCTTTTAGTTTCTCCACATAACACCTTGCAATTGCCTTCATTTTCTAGAGAGATGGGTAATTGTTTTCTTAAGGTAGTAAGCTTACACAGGCTATTTTCTGGGGATCCTAAAATATTCAGGAGGGGATGCTACTTAATTACATTTTAGAACTGAGGATTTTAGAAAGTTTGAGAGTCATGCTGAGTAAGGCGTGAATGTAGGTATTTCTCTTTGCTGTTCCACATCCATGGTTTTCAATGGACTAGATCTCCAGAGCTGTGGGTTTCAGCCTTCAGCTGCAAAACCCCAAGTGTCTCAAGACCACATCTATTAGTTTTGAGAAAAGTGAATAAGAAACGGAAATCTGTTGTCATTTGGCTTAGTTCTATAGGAACTGACAACCAGGGTTTTCAAGTCAATGAAGGACGTTATGAATGGTACTTTATGGAATTTTACATATTTAAAGGATGATGTTTTGTTTGGAGAAGAGTTTCATTAATGAAACTTGGTGCTCCCCTCTCTGTCACACAATCTCTCATGTTTCTTCTTCTTTTTTCCCAATCTGCAGGAAATTTCAAATTCTTCATGTTCAGCTAGGTTAGGTGACCTTTACAGGGAGTTAGGCCACTTAACATCTCCCAGTGGCTGGAGAGAGATATCAGATTAGATCTGCTACTGATGTGTATCACAAAGCTCTAATGATGGTCTGTGTCCAAACCCTATCCATGCTGTTTTCATAATCTGGCAATTAATTTAAACAATGAGCAAAAGAAAATGATTCTAAGTCACCAACTGTTAGCAGATGAAAAAGTTGACCAGCAAACTGCCTGATGACGAACAGGCAACGATCAACAAGAGAGAGATGAACCTCATGTTTTAAAATATGACAGCTGCAAGCTAAAACTGCTAGATTCCATCCCCAGATTTTTGACAAAAGAGAAAAAATGAGGAAAAATGATCTACTCATTATAAATAAAATTAACCTGACAAAACAAAGGGATTAGCATCAAGTCATGTAATGACAAGCCTTACTTCAATAGCCACTGAGTTCCATTCAATTATCTTTATGCAGAGAACATACATACAGACAGCTAAAACTTGTGGGCATGGTAAAAGGCAGCTTTGGCAGAGCCTCCATGGACCAATATGTAATTTCTCTAAACAGTGAAAATAAGGTCTTTTTTTCCCAAGACAACAGTCCTGTATGTATTTATTTCATGCCACTTACATAAAGTAGATCTAGTACCCCAAAAGTAAAAACCTTTTTTCAGCAGCTGCTAACTGGTCAACAAACTTCCTCATATTCCATTCATTGCAAATGGCAATCTTCTTTTTATTATTACCTAACACAGCCAAGTTTAGCCAGCTGCTCATGCCTTTTATAATTTTATTTGAGATGGCTTTTGGTGGTGGTGTTTGGCTTGGTTGTGGGTTGGCTTGGGGGGTATTTTTGTAACTTACCTAGTAAAGATTGTGAGTTAATATCCCTTCTTTGGGTGAATTGTCGTCCAGGGAGATCTTTTGCCATGACAAAGATAGTGGAAAGCAGAGTGTGCCCAAACAGCAGAAGGAAGCAAACAATCATTTTCTTCATCTTCAAGAAATAGAAGGACATTCAAGGATGTGAAACTGCAATAAGGGAGAGGAGATGAGCTCTTTGATTACACAAAAAGATCCACTGTAACCATGTCAGCCTCAGCTGCACTGCTTCCCTCCCATCACATACAAACATGCAGATACACTGGCTTGAATAATACCTACACTGTCAAGAAAGATCTACATAATAAAGTGGCACTTAGGAGATCTTGCATAGCGTTTGTATTACTAGTTGAAGTTCAAACTGAATAGTTAAAATGTATAATTTTTTTAAAGAATTCGTAATAATAATAATGTATTTTCAAAGCAGAAAAGAAACCTCGTTTCAGTCAATCTATCAGCATAAACAGGCTTGAGGAGGACACAAATATATTTTCATTATTCTACTCAGCCCTCTTTTGCATTTTTTCAGAAGTTTAATGGCTCTTGTAGCCTGAGGGATACCTGCTTCAGAGAATCTCGGAGTATTGACACAAGAGAAGGGAATATATTCCAGAAACAGCAACTATAAATACAAACTGGTAACAGCTCGTGCTTCCTTTTCAGGAGACTGTCCATAGTTGCCAGCATGAAGATAACAGTGCAAGATGAATCTTGTTTACTCAAGGAAACTTCTGAGGACTGGTAATGAGCTTGCCATAGACTGTGGAGAAATTTTGTCATAGAGAGGAACAAGGTGACAGGCAAAATTCCTACACTAAGAGATGATTCCCGCCCACGAGTTGGTTAACACACCATCAAAAGCCACAGCTGACCCTGTCCACAAAGAGAAAGCTAACACTAACATTCTAAGGGCTCATCTTCTGGCCATGTCCCCTGTTGGTGGGCTTCCTCAGATGGTGATTCCTTCTACCTTCCCCCAAAACTTATTGTTCCTATCTAACAGGAACTAACAGGAGAGATGAATAAAACTACCTGCTCTCACAACAAAGAACTGTTCTACCTGAAACTGAGTGGAAATTTTAGAAGCAGTAGAAATTTTAACAGTAATTCTTGGTTAAATAACTAGCACATTGAAAACAATTTCAGTAGGGTCCTACACTGGATAAGCAGACAGAATCACAGATCTGTAACAGAAGACAACTAAATGGTGCTGTTCAGAGAATTTTTTCCCCACCATGAGGTATCCAGTGAAAAAAAATCTGAGTAAATATTTTCTGTCTAATAAAAAGGTTTTATACATTATTCTCCAGTCTGTCCCACACAACCATTACAGACTGATCTATTTTTTGGTCTATCAATCTATTTTTTTCCTTTTGTGTACCCTACTCAACATCCCCAAATGTGAGCGCACGGTTCAGTATATATGCTAGAGAACAAAATGCACTGAGTTTTTGCACTCAAAATGCCCAACTTTGCTTAAACATTCAATAGTATCCAATAACAGGCAATATATAATTTAAGGACATTCAAACTAGGAAAGAGATGTAAATAGTTGGTGTTTATAATAGAGGCCACAAAAAGTAAATTTCTGGAGCCCTAGCAGCATGGACACCTGGATGGTATTACTGGTAGAGTATTTCCAAGTGCTCTAGTCAGAAACAAATGGACACTGCAAACAGCGCGCACCACTGAAAATGGGACAACATTCTGCTGGAGGCAACAGTTGTTACTGCTGGAGATTACCAATGAAAACTTCCTCCAGGTTGTCTCCTCATTTCCCAGAATATCATCAACAACCACAGCACTGTGCAAGGGGGCCTTCTGTCTGCCTGGCCTGCTCCTTCAGCACACAAGGCAAACAGACCTCAAGGACACATGCCAGTTTTAGCACCAATGTTTCAGAAACATAGAAGCCACGCTCAGAGAGCTAAGGAGCATAGAGAAATATGCTCCTTTATCAAGGCTGTCATGGTGTTTGGGTGACATAGTTTAGTGTGAGGTGTTCCTGCCCATGGCAGGGGGGTTGGAACTAGATGATCTTAAGGTCCTTTCCAACCCTAACTATTCTATGGTTCTATGATTCTGTCACAGGAGCCAGGAATGAGAGTTTGGTCAAGAGGGCTACTTGGCCGTTACATAGTTATCAGTTCCCTAACTCATCCCTCCTTCCCAAAGCCAAAGGCTGTGCATGTGATAAGAGCTGACACTGATCCAAGCCTGTTGTACCCTTTCATCCACACTGAAAGTTTCTGTGCTGCCTTCCTGAGGTGATGATAGTTTGGACTTGTTGTACTTTGCTCTATTCCATGTACATATTCATGTTCACTGCTGCTCACGTTTTCACATGACCAGTAATATTGTGGTTGCACAGCTTCTCCACATACAGTCCTCCCATAGTTCTCTATTTATATTCTGGGTCTTCTGCAAGGTCTTCTGTCTTCACTCTAGAAGTTGGATGGTGTTTATTGTACCACATTTGGTATTTAACACCTCATTTTCTCAGCAGGCTAAGCCAGGCTGCTGGCACAGCCTTCTCATGCTGGCTAACCCTTGCTCTACCAGCCAAGAACACACTCCCAAAGTACCAGACTTACACATACTTTTTTGGCTACCTTCAAGCACTTCAGTTCCAGCTGCCACAGGAGGATTATTCAGTATTAGACCACTGGGGGTTAACTGCTGCCCATACACCTCAAAAGCAAAGGACACCAAGAATAGGGCTCAACCAGGTTAAACACCAGATGCAGTGGCTTCCACAAGCTTCCGTCCATGGAGAGGGGAAGATAAGGGTTCTATGCAGGGCTTTCACAGCAACCTTGGAGTAGCCAGTGCAGCACACTGTTCTACTGGACATGTGAAAAAGCTGCTAATAGAGAACAAGTAACTGCTGCTCACAGTACAATCTAGTGAGGGCTGCTTGCAGTATCTGCAGCTACCTAGAAGATATAAAGGAGGAGATTCTCCTAGAAGATGGGAAGTAAATATACAGACTCTCCTGTTCTTTTCAGGCTTCTCTTGCTCCCTGACTGCTGGTCAAGAGCTAGATGTTTCCATGGTGTTTTCTTATCAGTTTTACCTCTGCTTTGCTTAGCTATACACCCATGCAACAGAATACTTTTTATGGATTTTCAGTTTTCATGAAGTACAGTGTAAGAATACTGAAAAATGAAATCAGGACTTCATCTTTAAAATACTTATCTTCTTTGTTGGACAGCACTCGAAAACAGAAGACTTTTTCTACCCTTTCAAATACCTGTCCATGGCAGTCTTCTCATAATGGACTGATAGCTGTTTTTGACAGAGACACTGATGAATATTGAGTGTAAATGGTGATAAATCAATGACTTTCTCCACTGCATTGTGCACGTTATTAAGGTTTGTCCTCTTCACTACGATAACTCTCAAATAATGTGAAGAGCAAAGTGGTGCTCTATAGCTTATGCTGAAGTCAGTGTCCTTCCATCTCTTACTTCAGGAAAAGCTTTTTCACACAGAACCCAGAAACCCTCCCATTAGTCTGGAAGGCCACTTTTTTTCATTCGGGTACCTTAAAAATGTACTTATTCTTGCTGGGCAGGTCATGCTAAAGAAGAAATTGGAAAGCATAGCAGTATGTTTCAGCTCATGTCTCCCACTCTTCTGGGTGGTCTCCTTCCTCAGCTTGCAGTACAAGTTCCCTTCCAAGGCTAAATCAGAAACATGAACTCCACAAACCCCTACATGTCCACCTTCTTCATCTGCCACCAAAACCGGCAAAATGCACAGAAGCGGAAATTCTCAGCAGTTACCTGGAACATCAACACCTTTAATAACTACAGATAATAACCCCTCTCTTGAACCCTATGTAATTTCTCGTCATAGATGGGAAGGAAAGGGAAGACAAGAAAAAACAGCAGAGGCAGCAGTTATTACCACCACAGAAGCTGCCACCAGTTTTCCTTGTTTGGTAGTTAAAAGAAACAGCCATTTATTTTCATTAAGCTGTCGGCAGATCCAACTTCAGTAGTTTTAAGTTATAAAAAATGTAAGTGCATAAAAGGGGAAAATATTCTGAAGTTCTTTCAGCATTCCCTATTATGTACCCATTTTTAAGAAACTGTGATCAAATCAAAAGACTTTTACTCAAGTTAAAGGAACAGCAAGTGATTTGTACAAGCCAATAAAATCAGAGTCTGTGTCCCCAAGTTAGCAAGCACAGTGAGTTACTTGGAAAAAGAATGATCTCTTATTACATGAAAGCCACAAAATACCTCATTCTCAGTCCCATCACCTCAGAAATTATACAAACCCAAGGACATCAGGCATGGTAAAGCCCTGTTAACTATCAGTTACAACTTGTTCCAAGATACTTTACTATCCACAAACCAGCACATGCATTACTAGTCCGTTACTCATAAAATCACTCTGTGTGGTATGGGTATCAGGACATAGAGTATTAATAATTTCCTCCATCTTTCTGGACCAGTTGCTGACACAGGCGTTTTCCATTTCTGAAAAATAGCTATATAGCCCCACAGAGTCCAATATCATACCCATCCCTAGCCATGCAGGTATGGCATTGGGGCAGGGGGCCATAATCAGGAGGATATTTAGCACATCTGCAAGAAGCACCATCTTGCCTTCAGCCTTACAAAGGAGTGCTCTGCTGTCATCCTGTTCCACCAAATAACACACTGGATTTTCTGCAGCTCCTTGCTGCTCAAGGAGGGCTTCACCAGGCTCAGCAACACAGGACAGGTAGAACTCCCCTAAATCATGGTTGTTAACTGCATCTCACTAATAATCATTGGTGAGATAACCAAATAACCAAATAATAATGAAGAAGAAAACAGGTTGCAGGTGCTCCAAGTTTGTAAATTCCTTATTTGCTCCTCAACCCTGATGGCAGGCACTATGTGCACATGAGTATATAACCCACTACCACACCAAGTCCTGCAAAGCAGACTGGTATGTCCTTGCTAATACATTCTTTAGCTCCTTTTAAGAGTCTAACTTATTCATGCTATCAGTAGTATCAGATGAATCTGAGAAACTCATTATCTCACAGTCAGTTGTTACTGCAGGTGTGCTCTGAGGCAGACAACCCAAATGCTTTCAAAGTAGCAGAGCAAGCCACCACAATAATAAAACTGTTGACTTGGCAACATCAGTCTTTTACCAATCTAAAATAATGAGTGTCCAGACACTAAGAGTAATCCAAATCTACAGTGGCTTAAGGACCAGAAGTTGTGTACTCCAGCACAAGAAGACTGGGTCAAATTCTTTAAATGGGTCCATGAAGGTCTCCTTCCTGACAGGAAGTTTTATGGCCACATGTTGTTTTGTGTCTGCAAAAGGGCATGATCCTAGCATGTGATGGCAATTTGCCTGTTCTGGACATGTCTGCATAATGATGGGGCAGGATGACAACCACAGATTCACAGCCTTCCAACCTTTGGTTCCTGCTCTTTCATATGATCCTTCTCATCCAGCACATATTCCTACCTCAGCATCTAAAAGGCTATTCCAGTGCTCTGTACAATGCAGAGAGGTGCCTCTGCATTGTACTAGTTGATCTGCAACTGAAAGAAACTCCATCAGTACCTAATTATTCTGACTACTGCTACAAATGCTCTCAGCTGAGTTGTATCCTGAAGTAATATAATGAAATGTGACAATGGAAATTAACTTAGATTTTGAAACAGTAAAGGGAAGATCCAAAATGCATTATAGAGCAGTTCCTAGAACGGAGGTGAATGACAACATCTGGTAGTCAGCCAAACATTTCCACAAAGCCAACACTGTACATCAGTACCCATATGCAGAGTGTAGCTGAAGGTGTTACAGGACACAAGAGGGCAAACACATTCTGGAAGACATTAGAAAAGCACTGGGGATGGTGGAAGAACAGTTTGCCTATCCAAGTACAGAGGTCAGATAAGCACATACACATCTTTATGAATTTGCACACTGAAATGTAGAATGTATCAGAAAGAGCAAAGATGAGCACTGAATTTTGTTGTGAGATGTAAACATCACAGTAGGACTTTTACACAATGGGCTCAGTTATCTAAAGGGCTTAGTGTATATGTACTACTACTATGATTTAATTTTCTACAACTATAATGCAATAAAGAGCATTAAGGGATCCATTACTTATTTTTACATAAGTCACTCATTTAAATCATAGACTTCCTGCTATCACTGTCATAGAACTAGAAACTACTAAATTATAGAAGTCTAGAACAGACCTCTGTAGCTCATCAGGTCCAAGCCCTGCTCAGAGCTGAAGCTGAATTTGAGTCACTTCAGACACATCATATACAAGTTAACAGTGATGCTGTAGAACAGTGCACCCATAGTATGGTTTACTCTGCATAGTTTCCAGTGGTCAGACAGCAAGCTTTAGCAGCAGGAATTCTTATTTTATGACAGCATCAATCTCCATGTCAGGATTTTCTTGGACAATAGGCCTTTTCATTATCTTTGGGGAAGACTCATTTGCACTTTCTGGTTCCAAATATGATCTAGACATCAGAGTTTCCACAATGTTCTCAGAAGAGTAGCATGGGAAAACTGAGAAACTTCAGTTCTACCATGAAGAGTAGGTATTTATATAAAAGCATATATTATATGACATATAATACATATGTGGGCTGCTTAGTTTTGTGTCTGTGAAGCACAGTCGCAAACCATAACAGACTGCTAATTGCAAATGGAAAGGCTTTTTTTTTTTTCTTAACAAAACCCAATACATCAGTTCTAAAACTTATCTGCAAACCCACACTGACCCCAGTACCAGCACCAGTGTAAAATAATAATTCGGGGATTAAAGCCACTCCATTCCAAATACTCCTTGCCCATAAAGAAAACACAGTCCAGCAATGAGTATAAAATATGAAAGGAGCTTGTTAATGATGCCCAGATTATAATTAAATAGCAGTGCTTAGTGTTTTACCCTCCCTTGGAGATAGTTTGTAAATCAAGGGGGAGTATTTAGATCTGATTAGTCTTTCCCTAGTTTGCCTGGATGATTCAAACATCTTTTACTATTACACAGCTGGGTCCCAGGGTCCCAGCTCATAAGCACTAGAGTGTGTGTTAGTTTGCCATGAGAAATCCCAGTGAAGTCAATGGAAAGACTCATGTAATTAGGTGTGAATATTGAGTGCAAGGTTGAGGATCTTAGCTGCAGCCTTGTGTAATTGAGTGCTACATTTTCTTAAGATATTAAATAAATCAAACTTAATTTGATGAACATAATTATAATCATAGTGATATACACTACAAAGTTTTTAAAAATCTGGTGCTTAAAGCTGACACATCTCTGTGAGGAGTCTACCACTCAGGAAAGATTTTGTAGGATTTTACGGAAAAGATATTAAGTTCTTGATTTACAGAGAATTTATTATAGGATTCAGTATGATAATTTCATCTGAAGTAGTCAGCTGCCTGACAGTAGCACAGCTGTGACACGTAACACAGCATGTCACCTTTTCAGGTCTCAGTCAGAATCATTCACCCCTTGAGTAATGGCCCCAGAAGAAAACCCAAGCATTTAGGAAGTATTATATAAATCTGGATGTTGCATTCATCCCTCTCGGTCAACACATGGTTAAACAGTGACAGTAGCCAGTCTGACATGAAAGAACTCTTCTGAAAGGAACATGTGATCATTAGAGATGCCACAGCAAATTTTACGAGATTAAAGAGCACCATCTCGGTTGGGTTTCAAGGGTAAGTATATCAGATGCAGCAAAACATCCCCACTCCTCCCATCTCCAGCAAACGCACTGCTCTCAGGAAGCCCAGGCAGCTCCCACCTGCGTGGTAAAGGTGACTACTCCAGTGGACAGCTACCTGCAGGTGGTATAAACTGCATCCCGTCCTGCTGGAAGCTGGTAAAGATACACCTGCAGGCCACTCCGTAACAAAAAAGTAAAGTTTGGTAAAGTCTAGGTAAAGTTTGGCTCTGATTCTGCACTGATTTTAAAATTCAGTGCACTCTTCCCTTGCAGCACATACACTGTTACATGAGCTCCTGAAGCATGCACGGGGAGGAGAGTGCTCAGACCATGCAGGCCAAAGGAAAACGAAACATTTCCCCCGCTGCTCAAACACGAGCAGCAAACCCCTCCAGCGGGACCCAGCGAGCACCTAACCCAGCCCCAGAACGCGCCTCGGCCCCCCGCCCTCCACCAGGCCCCTGCCGCCCGCGGTGCAGCCCCCACTCCCCGTGGAGCCCTCCCCGACGGTCCCCTCGCTCGGGGGAGCGGCTGGGGTGCGGCCGCCGCGGGGCAGGGACCCTGGGGCAGGAGTTGCTGCAGGCCCGGAGGTGTCAGCGATGCGAGCCCCGGCGAGCGGCAAGTGAGGCAGCGGGGGTGCCTGTGCCCCGGGCGTGGCGCCCTGGGCCGGCCTGGCGGCGGTAGAGGCGGGGCGCGGCAGAGCAAGCTGCAGAGCCGGGCTTACCTGAGGGGCTGGCGGGGCCACTCCGCTCGGCGGCCAGAAGCGAGTGCGGGAGCGCCTCCTCCCCGCTCGGCGCGGCTCAGGACAGCGCTCCCCCTCCTACCCCCCCGGGAGCGCGGCGGGCTGAGGGGAGCTGCCGCCTCCCGCCAGCCCCCTCCCCGAGCAGCAGGAGCCCAGCTCAGCTGCACTGAGGGGAAAGGAAGGGGCGGCCCGCCAGGGAGACACTGGCTGCCCTTCCTGGACCCTCAAAGCCGGCCCTGCCCTGCACGGCCCCGGGACTCAGCGGCCCGTATCTCCTCCGCCACCGTCAGGGACGCGGTCTCGCTCCCTTCCGTCTGCCCGTGAGAGACACGGGCTCTTGCCCTGCTCCGTCCCGCTCGCCCCGTGTAAGGGACGCGGTCCCGCTCCGTCCCTCTCTCCCCGAGTAACGGACGGGGTCCCGCTCCTGCCCGCCTGTCCCGTGTGAGGGACACGGTCTGCCTTTTCGCTCCCTCCCGCCTGCCGTTAGGGAAGAAACTGGAGCGACGGCCCTCACGGGATCCGCTCCCTCCCGTCTGTCCCCGAGGGATTGGGGACACTCTGCCTCCTGACAGCCCCGCTCCTCCTGCCCTCCCCAGGCTCCCGGTTGCGGTAGTCCCGTTTTGGCCCTCCGCTCTGCTCCCGCTGCGCACCTCGGCCCCGCCGCCGGTTCCTCCCCGTCAGACCTTTCCCTGCCCTGCAAAGGCAGCTCCTGTAGCTGCGGGGGAGTGTCTGCCCCGGCCGCGGGGTCCCGCTAGAGGAGAGCGGTGTGGGTTTGGTGTGGCGGCTCAGGGCAGGGCCGTCCGCATCCATCCCCGGGCAGCGCCGTGCTCCCTGGGCCGGGCCAGCGCTCCCTTCCAGGGAAGCTGACCAAGGGAAACGCTGGGGAATGGAAATCCCATTCCCCGCGCAAGGACCTCCGGGCCAAGGCAAACAGTCCCCGGTGAATCATGCGGGAGTCTGCCACCGCGGCGAGCCTCCGGAGCCTCTGTCGGGGAATACGCCGCGGGAGGCGTGAAATAAATGGGCCAGGTAGAAGGGGCTGTCGCTTCCCTGCTGTCACAGCCGCGGTGCACTCAGTAGTGCAGGTGGAAAAAGCTGACTGTGGGGTTTGTATCAATATTTACGTTTTCATTGTGTATGAACAAGATAAAGTAAAATTCCTGCTTTGTTCCTGCGATTTCTCTTTCCTGGGAAAAAACGTCGGTGAAAGGCATTCCAAATGACAGAGGTGAGCCAGGCTTACCGTCACATCCAGCAGGAAAGGGGTAAAATTGCCAAACCAGTGCATTAGGTGCCAGCATGGTCTGAGAGAGGAGATTTGTATCCCCCGGAGTTGCTGGGATGGTGAACAAACCGCAGAAATCAACAGAGCTAATTTGCGTAAGTTTTCCAAGGCACAATTAATTGTCTGTGAGGCAGGTGTACAAAATCTAATCTTTAAGAAGAGGGGTGTAAATGATGAGCAAATCTCAGACTGAAAGGGGCTGGATTAACCCCACCTTTCATTCTGAGTCCTGGCTCCTGAACCTCTTCTGTATCTAGAGGAAAGGGAAAAACTAAAAAGGCAGGTGAACACTGATACACACTATAGCAAACACAGCAAAGCCAAGCGCAGGATAGTTCACCTGTTCTGTTTCATCCTTTGTAGCGTAGCAGAGGCCACAATCCATAATGCTCTGTCAACTCAAACACAGAATCTGTACCCCTGGAGATTTCACTGTGCTGTGGCTTGAGGCACCAGCTGAGTTGCCAGAGGAAGACAAAAGACAGGAGAGAAAGCGCTGTGGTGAGAAAATGATGTGAATTTGCAGGGGCTTGGCTTGGTGGCTTCAGTTCCAACTTATCCAGAAGAAAACTTAACACTAGCTCTTCCCAGAGCCTGTGCAGCCTGCTGCTCTTGGCAGGTTGAATACATGGCAGGTATCCCAGCTGGAGATTGCAGGAAAGGGTATGATGACAGTGAGAAAGCTTGATAAAACATCTATTTGCCTCATAAAAAACAGCTTAGAGGATGGGGGGATTTTTATTTCACTTTATTAATGAACTTTGCTTTTTATTTAATACCATACCAGAAGTTCAGTGTATTCCACACATTACAGACTCTCACTGTCTCTTTGCCTCTTATCCTTCCTCAAGTGATGAGCTTCTGTCTTCCACTCCCACAGTGTGACTTCTTTTTTGCTTTGGGAGAGACATCGTTCAGTCTGTCAACATTTGGGAGAATGTGTAGAGGAAAGTTGGAAGGTACTAAGTTAGACAAAGCTGGAGGATTCTATCAGGCAGCACTTTGATCTGCAGTCAATTATTAAGTTATCTTAAGATTGCTGACTGGGTATCAGAAGCTTTCTGAGTCTTCGCTTTCCTTTCCTGGCTTCTCTCAGTGCTTGGCAGGATAGTTTTCAGTCTGGAAGAAACGCACAGTGATGTAGGCTGCTTTTGAATTGTCACAGACAGCCACATAATGTAAAAAACATAGTTCAGAAAGTACATTCTATCTTAAAAGCAGGTGCTTTAGTAAAACAGCAGGGAATTGGTTTTCCTCCTGCTGTTAGATGACCTTCCTACTACTGTTAGACACTTCCTACTAATTTCCAGCCTAAATGTATTTATGGCTATTTTATACTTGTTTTCTAGTACTAACATTGTCTTTCAACCTAAACGTCTCTTTTTATTCTTCAAGGCTTGCTTAGTGTACTTAGTGACAGCAATAATTTTCTCTTTCAGCCTTCACTCTTGTTTCACTCTACAAGCAAATTCTTGCTGTATATGTGTTGAGCCAGTTCCTGTGGGTGCATGTGGCAGAACTGAACATGATACGCCATCCGAGCTCTCACCAGATCATTTCTATTTACTGAAAATACTTTTCCTGATGTGGTCTAGGATTTCATTATCATTTTCAGTGGCCTCATTACCGTTAATGGCTGATGGTCATCTTTGTGTTCAGTTTATGTGTGCAGCTGCACCTGTTTGCCAGTGAATAAATCCTACCTGATACATGATCTTTCATTTTATACTGTGGTATTCCGTGTCTCCTGAAGTTCTTTCATTCTTAAGATCATTTGGTTGTTTCCAAATGAGGTCCTCCTTCTTGTGTGCAATGCCTATTGAATCTTATATGTTTTATAAAAAAATAAATCCACTTTTGACAGCCAATTTCATTAATTAAAAAGTTAAATAAGATTCTCAAAGTGATCTTTCAGTAATTGTAAATAACTTTCTCTAACTTTCCCCTTTGAATGCTCCCTCACCTGCTTTCCTATTGTCAAGAGCCAGATCCATGAGTTAGGTCCATACTTAGCTCTCCTAGTTCCGATTTCAATTAGTAATTTCCACTGTGGCAATGCTTTCCTGAAGTGCAGACACATTAGGGCTACTGAATTTCCTTTGCCTAAAAAAAGCAGGTTAGATAAGCACAATCTCATGTTGGGAAACTAATGCTGCATTTATCACTTATTTCACAAAATTTTTAGTTATTCTTTGCTTCAAAATTTGTTTTGAAGTTCTTATTACTACATGGGTAAGAATAAAAGCTGAGATGGCATTTGAACAAATCAAGTCGTTCCAGTTGCTTTTAATTGGGCACCATCTGACTCAAGCCAATTGTTAAGAAAATTTGGTGTGATGCCTGTGCTGTCAGTTGGGATGGAAATTGTCTGCTCCCCTTGACATGAGCATGTTTTAAAGTTCATGTCTCTTGCTTGTAGTTGCTGCTGCTTTTGCTTATTATCCTGCCTTCATCTGTGTTGACTATAATAAAATACTTTAAAATAGCAAAGTTTTTTGTTGGGTAGACAAGAAGAAGAAAGACGTGTTTATCAAAGGCCTAGATAATAAAAATTCTGTTAGCTTGTACTGCAAACAAGAAAATACTTAGAACTTTGTAAAAAAAGTTGAAAGAAATACATAATAATAGTTGTTTGTTCAATAAAAAAAATCTGTGGCTTTTGCCAGTGGAGGAATTTAGCTTTTTATTTATTGACATGCAAGGTTTGAAATGTTTACAAATAAGATCATAAAGCTGTTACACAATTAAGTGTCTTTATTACTCTTTATTGTTGTCTTTATTACTGACCAGAGAAATCAAACCATATCTTTTAAATCACTTCAGAAGTTTGTATCCCACAGCCTTCTGATTGGAAATGTTATAATATACTTGTAATATTAACTCACAGGGCTTATAAGCCACACTGCAGTGCAATTAATCAAGTAAAGTTTCCAATGCATATACAAATTGGAGTGTATCAATGGAAGCACCGTCCTTAACTACATAATTAAAAGATATGCCCTTTCCTGGGCATTGAAATGAAGCTGTCTCCACTGATCAGCAGGTACTTGGTATCTTAAAAACCATACAGTGCAAGTTCTTTCTAGTTACAACTGGATATTCAAATTTCTACAGTAGCTTGAAAATAAAACTGTATAAATCTTTTCTTACTCTACCAAGCTTTCTAAAAAGGACAAGGCAGATTTCTGGTTTTTGGCTTATATGGCTGTTGTGGTTAAAAAAATGTGTAAAGTAGTGTCATGTAAAGCAGGTATGTTACAGTTGGTCAGTAACTGTCAATTACTTCATGATTCTCCATTGACATCGCTTAAAATCACTTAAATAAAAGAGAAGGGTATAAAGTTCAAGTCTGTATCTAATCTGTTTTCTTGAAGAAAAAGATTTATTTATTTAATAAATTTTATTTATTTATTTAAGAGTTAGAGTTACCCGGGTAACTATAGACCGGTCAGCCTCACCTCCATCCCTGGGAAAGTGATGGAACACCTTGTCCTTGGTGCCATCTTAAGGCACATCAAGGATAAGAGGGTTATGAGGGGCAGTCAACATGGTTTCACCAGGGGGAAATCATGTTTGACCAATCTCTTAGCCTTTTATGAGGAAATAACACAGTGGATGGATGATGGCAGAGCGGTGGATGTGGTCTACCTTGACTTCAGCAAAGCATTTGACACAGTCTCCCACAGCATCCTCACAGCTAAATTGAGGAAGTGTGGTCTGGATGATCAGGTAGTGAGGTGGACTGCGAACTGGCTGAAGGAGAGAAGCCAGAGAGTTGTAGTCTATGGGGCTGAGTCTAGTTGGAGGCCTGTAACTAGTGGAGTGCCTCAAGGATCAGTACTGGGACCGGTATTATTTAATATATTCATCAATGATTTAGATGAGGGAATTGAGTGTACTATCAGCAAGTTTGCTGATGACACTAAGCTGGGAGGAGTGGCTGACATGCCAGAAGGCTGTGCTGCCATCCAGCGAGACCTGGACAGGCTGGAGAGTTGGGCAGGGAATAACTGGATGAAATATAACAAGGGAAAGTGTAGAGTCCTGCATCTGGGCAGGAACAACCCCAGGTTCCAGTATAGGTTGGGGAACGACCTGTTAGAGAGCAGTGTAGGGGAGAGGGACCTGGGGGTCCTAGTGGACGACAGGATGACCATGAGCCAACACTGTGCCCTTGTGGCCAAGAAGGCCAATGGCATCCTGGGGTGTATTAGAAGGGCGGTGGTTAGTAGGTCGAGAGAGGTCCTCCTTCCCCTCTACTCTGCCCTGGTGAGACCCCATCTGGAATATTGTGTCCAGTTCTG